AACAACCCTTCATGGAGACTGTTAGCACATGTTGAGTTTTACCCTCCTTCATTAGTCTTTGGTGGTTCAACCTAGCCATCTGGGAACCCTTCTCCTCCACCGTCCATCTCTTTCCCTACACACTGCTGGTCAAGGGAATCCCAGAGAGGCTCCCTTGGGAACAGGGTCCTTCAGGAAGTGGCGTCAAAGGAGTCCTAGAGCCAGTGGCACCACAGGTGGGCCTACCTATGTGGTGGCAGATCCAGATCCAGATCACGCGGACCCTCTCCAGGTCACTGTGGGCCTCCTGGAGCAGGTCGCTCACCAGCTCGTCCAGGCCACTCTTGACTGTCACCTGGGGAGTGGGAGGGGTATGCTATGTCATATGTCAGACCCTGGATGAGGGCTGTGAGAGCCCAGTGCCCTGACACCTGCAGCTGGTGCTGCTTTTCTTCCAGGCAGAGGAGGAGGAAAGAGCCGGAAGCACAAAGGCTAGGCTGAGGGCAACCTTTGGTAGGGGGCTGTACATATCAGGTAGGGCTGACCAGCTGAGTCACTGGCCCTACAGCTACACATCTTTTCACTGCAGACCCTGAGGCCAGCCAGGTGGGCAGACAGCTGGGCAGCTGTAGCAGCCCCTACTCATGATCTATACCACCCAAAGCAATCTACAGACTTAACACAATCCCTATAAAATTCCAAAGGTCTTTTTTGCAGAAATGGAAAGCCCATCCTCAAATTCATATGGAATTGCAAGGGACCCAGAATAGTCAAAACAATTTTGAAAAAAAAAAAAAAAGTTGGAGGATTCATATTCCTGGATTTCAAAATTTACTACAAAACTATAGTAATCAAAATAGTGTGATACTGACATAAGGATCATATAGGCCAATGGCATAGAATTGAGAGTCTAGAAATTAACTCATACACCTATGGCTAACTGACTTTTCTGACAAGGATGCCAAGTCCATTCAGTGGGGAAAGAATAGTCTCCTTAACAAATGGTGCTTGACAACTGGATATCCACATGCAAAAGGATGAAGTTGGCTCCCTACTTCATACCATATATAAAAATTAACTCAAAAAAGATCAATGACTTAAAAGAACTTAAATGATAAAACTCTTAGAAGTAAACACAGGAGACGGGCGCCTGGGTGGTTCAGTTGGTTGAGCATCCGACTTTGGCTCGGGTCATGATCTCACGGTTTGTGAGTTCGAGCCCCACGTCAGGCTCTGTGCTGACAGCTCAGAGCCTGGAGCCTGCTTGGGATTCTGTGCCTCCCTCTCTCTCTGCCCCTCCCTTGCACATGCTCTGTCTCTCTCTGTCTCAAAAATAAAACATTAAAAAAAAATTTAAGAAAGTAAACACAGGAGTAAATTATCATGACTTTGGATTTGGCAACAGATTCTTAGATATGATACCAAAGACACAAGGTACAAAATAAAAAATAGGTTAATTGGGCTTCATAACAATAAAAATCTTCTGGGCATCAAAGGACATTATTAAGACAGTGAAAAGACAACTGACAGAATGGGAGGAAGTATTCACAAATCATGTATCAGATAAGGGTGTAGAATCCAGAATATGTAAGAGAACTTCCACAACTCGACAACAAAAAGACAACCTAATTTTAAAATGGGTAGACTGGAATACACACTTCTCCAAAGATATGTAAACGGCCGATGAAAAGCTGCTCCACATCATTAGCCACCAGGGCAATGCAGATCACAACCACAGGACACCACAGCCACTAGGATGGCTGTTGTCATCAAAAAGATCTCCAAGATGTGGAGAAATCAGAATCCTTGTGCATGGCTCATGGGAATGTACAACAGTGCAGCTGCTGTGGAGGACGGTTTGGGGGGGTTCCTCAATAAGCTAAACAGAATTAATCATACGATCCAATAATTCTACTCCGAGGTATACACCCCAAAGATCTGGAGACAGATACTCAAACAGATACTTGTTCAAACTCCGTTCATGACCTCATTATTCACAACAGACAAAAGGTAGAAACAATCCAAGTGTCCATCACAGATGAATGGGTAAACAAATGTGGCATATATCTGTACCATGAAATATTATTCATCCATCAAAAGCAGTGAAGTTCTGACACCTGCTACAGTGTGGACGGACCTTGAAAACATGATGCTGGGTAAGCCAGACACAACAGGACATGTACGTATGATTCCACTTACATGGAATCGAGAGTAAAAAAGTTCATAGAGACAGTAAGTGCTTTAGAAGTTACCAGGGAGAATGGGAGGGATTGCTTCATGGGTACAGAGTTTTTGTTTGGGTGATTCGGAAACAGATGGTGGTGATAGTTCTACAATACTGTGAATGCAATCAATGCTGCTGAGTTGTACACTTAAAAATGATTAAAAGGGCAAATTTTATTATATTACCAGAACTGAAAAAAAAACAAACAAACAAATTAGGTCAAGGTTTAGAGTTGTGGGAAAGGCAGCCCTGACCATGTTCAGTCTTTATAGAGAACCTGGGGCAACCCAGTGCTTAATTCTACAATAGCTGCCCACACCTCTGCCAGCCCCCATCTTAAGCGCTCTGAGCGCCTGGATCCTTTTCGCCACTCACATCCGAACCCCAGGATCCACTGTCTGACGACAAGGAGACCTCTGGACCCCTCTTCTGCCTCCCACCTGCCCAGCTGCTGCCCGCCTCCTTTTGTTCGATGTCCAGCTCCAACTCCACAGTCCTGGTCTCTGTTGCTCTCCCGGGGCGAAGGACAGCACTGGACACACTGCAGGGCCTGCACACCAGCCTGGCTGATTCCTGACTTAAAAGCCTGTGGCTTCTGGTCCTTTGGTCCCCTCTACCTGGGCCCGGCTGGCTCTGGACACTCACTGCTCTGTGGCTGAGTCTCTGGCCTCAGCTGCGCTCCTGGCACTGCTCTCCAAGCAGGACCGGCAGCCTGTCCCGTCCCTCCGGGTGGCCATTACCACACAGCCCACCCTCCTCAGACTCTGGCACTGCACCCCCTTCTCTCCTCAGAGACAGCCTGGCCTCAGACTCGACAAGGCCCAGGACTTCTGCATAATGAGCCCTCCTCCTGCTCAGCCATGCCTCCTGTCTTTGCAGGGCTTGCTCTTCCTCAGGCAGTGCCCCTGCTCACCTGTGTCCTTACCTTCTCCCTTCCAGTCCTGGCTGCCCTATCCCCTCCTGTCTGTACCCCTCCCTATATCTCTTTCTCAGGACTGCCTACACCTAGCCTTCCCCTCTTTGCCAGGCTCCTGTGGGGTCTTCACCCCCCCAAACCCCCGCTTTGCTCCTTGGCCTGCCAGAGTCTGACTGAGGCTCCAACCCTCCCCTCTGGGAGTAGGAAGCACTTCAGTATTGAAGTGGCGGAAATGAGTCTGTCCTAACCTCTCTTGACCAGACTGCGCGCTATTGACCATCCCTGCCCTCAGGGAACTCTCCCTGCACCTTCCAGAACATCGATCCTTCTTGATCTTGCCTCGGCCTCAGGTGGCTCCGGGCCCTTTGGACCTCCTGCCCTGTCCTCCCCAAGATGACAGCCACCCTGTGGCTTCAGCTCTTAGCTAAATCTGATGGTTCCTGAATGAGTGTTTCTGGCCCAGACCTCTCCAGGCTGGATACAGCTCCAGGCTTGGACACCCAGCCACCTCCACTGGCTGTCCCACAGATACTGGAGCCCACTGCCCCTAAACGATCTCATCATCCCCTGAGACTGCTTCTTGTAGTGAGGAGCTGGCTGTCCCATTCTCCCTCCGTCATCCAGTCTGCAGCCTGTGAGCCCCCTGCCTTCTCCCTCCCTCACACACATCCACTGCCTTGCACACACTGGGATAGAGTCCTCCCTCTGTCCCCAGCTCAGTGTTGACCTTTCTGCTCCTCTCTGTTCTCAGTGTTCCCACTTAATCCAGGTCACGCCCACTCCTGCTGGGACAGCTGATGGCTCCCCACTGATGGCCCTGCCTCTAACCTGACTCTGGATCCATGCCCCTATCCATCCACTCATTGGTTAGCAAACAAGATTCCTGAGTACCTGCTATGTGCCAGCCACAGGGCAGTCTTTTTAGGCTGTAGATGATCTCCCTGCTTACTGGCCTATGATGGCTTACTTCTGACATCAGCAACGGGTCCAGCTCCTTGGCCCTTCCAATCAGGCAGCACCTGGCTCCCAGGACTCTAGTTGTCTCTAGTGCTTCTGCTTTTGTAGCTGCCCCTCCCCAACCCCAGCCCAGAAGAGCCTAGACCCAGACGTGTGAGAGCTTGGCAGCCCGTGTGCTCCAGGGGTGAGCAAGGCTGTGGTTGCAGTGGGTGCTGGCCAGCTGCACCCATGGCCCTCCCTCATCCTCTTGCCACCTTTCTTCATGGGGCCGGGCATGGCCTGGCTCAGCAGCAGCAATGCCCAAATGGGCAATGGCAGGCGGTCAGCATAGGGCCGGCCAGAGGGGCCTGCCAGTGGGGTGCCTGCGGGGTGTGTGGCCTGGGGTGGGAGCATCAGGACCGTGGGTGGCATTGGGGGGGATAGAATGGTCTTCCATCCTGAGCAGGGGCCTGGTGACTTGGCCTTCTTCTCTCCATCCATGTGATGTGAGAAGGCACTCTGGGCCATCTATCCAAGGGACTCTGGATGCATTTAGGAGGGGCCTGAGCAGAGACTTCATTACTCTGACTCAGGAAACTCCGAGCCACCTTATGCAGAGAGGCCTGCTCTCTTACCTGTGAGGCATACGTGTCCAGTTTCTCAAACTCCTGCAGGTCCAGGGGCATGGATTTCAGGCTGGACCGATCCCAGGGGTAAACTGGAAACATAGGGAGGCTCAGTCAGCCACTGAGGCCTGCTGGTGAGTGCTGCCCAGCCCAGGCCTCTCTGTCGTTTTGAAGTGCTGTGATTGCCTGACCTTCAGCATGATTCCCAGAACCTGGAAAACTGCTCCCAAGACCTATATCTCCTAGAGGGGTTCCTTGGTCAAATTGGTTTGTGAACTATGGCAACTTCTCTAGTTCGTCTGGAGAGTCACGGGGAACATGAGCCTATTTGCAGACCCTGGGAAGTCAGCAGTAAAGAGACTGGTTTCACCTCAATTAACTCAGCAGTGCCCAGGCAGATTAATGATGGAGTCCCCTTCTCCCCACCGTTTAGTTTTCTGCAGATTTCCTGCTAACTTTTCCAGGAATGAGTGCTCTGTGGGAAGTGTCCAGGCAATGCAGCCAGCCCCTGACAGGCTCAAGAAAGGAGGGTCTGTACTCTAGTTATGACGCCCAGGGTGGAGGGTGCTCTGGGTATGGGAGGAGGGTGTGCCGGAGCCAGGCTCTGTAGGCTTCTGTAGGGTGAGGCGTGTTTGGCACCCAGACAGGCTTCCTCCCTTGCCCACAGTCAGCCATAGACTGGAGCAGCCCAAGAAAGCCAAGTGTGTTGTAGCAACAGGTGCCCCAGGTATTGCGGGGGGGGGGGGGGGGGGCTCTGAGGGAGGCCGGACCCCAGAATCACTCCTTTGTGCCAGCCTTTCTTATAGGAAGCCGGGCACACCAGTCGTCAGACCAGCCACAGATGGGCAGCAAATCCCTGTCTCAGACCAAAAGAGAGCCTGGGCTCCGGCAAGGTCCTCCCATTATTCAAGGCTGACCAAGTCAGGCAAGCTGGGTGGGAGGCCAGGGGTTAGGTGAGGAGGGTGGGGCCAAAGGGCCACTGATCCCCTAACTCAGTGATAACCCCACTCTCCTGTGGGGGTGCTGGTGGGGCCCCAGGGCACGGCAGCCAGCCTGGGAAGAGCAGAGTGACATGGGGAAGCAGCCGGTGGGGGCTGCATGAAGCCTAGGTTCTAGTGGGGGCCTGACCTTCACGACCTCCACTGTGCTAGGGGTTGCTGGACTCAGCTGCCAGGCATGAGGTGCACATCTATGGGGCAGCTGGGAGAGTGAACGAGACGGTGGATCACGCTGTAAGGTCAGTGCCGCTTTGCTCCCTGGGAGGGTGTAGGGTGGGGGTCCTCTGTGGGCAAGTACAAGGGTAGAGGTGTGAAGCGTCTGTGCCCGGTGTGGGGGCTGCAGCTGCCTTTGCCCAGACATCCCTTGAGGTCTGTGAGGGACCCAGGCCTTGGTGCTACAGACCCAAGAGATGTGGCGGGAGAGTGAGAGTAGGGAGGGGGCGGCCCACCAGCTCCGGCCCGAGCTCCTGCGAGATCCTCTCTGGGCCAGCATTGGCTGAGACACAGTGGCAGCTGGTTAGGGAGCTGACCAATTTCCAGCCACAGAGGAGATCCCAGCCTCTAGTCAGCTGTCAGGCGCAGGCCATGTGGGTCCGTCCTCATTTCCCCACTACTCCAACATCCCTTCCTTTTGAGAACGAGGCCTTCTTTCTTTGCAGCCCAACTGGGTCTGGCACATTCCCCAAGGCCACTTTGTTCTGCTTTCTCACTTCCTGCTGACACTCTGCAGCAGCCCCTAGAGGGGTTTGGTCCCTTTGACCCTAGGCCTCTGACTGGGTCCTCACCATGTCCCGTGCTATGACACATCCAGGACCTGAGGGCTGTTCCTCTCTGAAGAGGAGGCAGACCGTGTGGGGGGCAGGCAGACTATGTAAACCCTACTCCAAGGCTGTGGTGTCACCACCAACCTAGTATTTTCTTTCTTCATTTTTCTACTTCTTTTATAAGGACCAAGATATTTCCTGGACCCTCCATAATCCTTGTGTCCTGTACAGCCTTACACTGGGGCTCTCTGAAAGCCCAGCACCACTGTGGGTCACTCCTCTGGTGCTGGCACTGGGATCGCTTGTCTCTCATCACTTAGATCCCTGTCAGCCCCTGTCCTGTGTGGTCTGAGCGCAGCCCTTGTCCAGCCAGCCTCTCAGAAGGGGGTGGGGACCCGCAGCAGGTCCTCAGTGCCTTTTCCCTCTGCGGAATCTGGCTCTTGCCATTCTCTGACAAGGGCTAGCAGGGTGACCTAAGTGGATATGAAGTGGACTTACATTTAACAAATTTCTTCTTGGTATAACTCTGCAAATGAGGTCTCCCCCGCCCCCATTGAGAAGAAGGATGACATTTCTAAAATGGGACTGAAAACCCTATTACTAGTTTTACCCTTTCTTGGTTCCATTTTACAATATCTCAACATTAAAAATACCCACAATGATTTATGCCTCATTACATTTACCTTCTGAAGAGATTATATAAGATCTAAATATGATTTTGCATAAATACATTTAAAATACCAGTGGCATTAACTAAATTATTCTAACTTTAAAGCAAAACAATGGGAAGAAGTGCCAAGCTCTCCCAAACCTTAGATGCCATCTGGTCTATGGAGAAGAAAACTGAGGCCCCAGGAAGGTGAGGGAGGGACAAAAATAGGACTCAAAGCCAGGCCATCGATCACCCCATTCAGGGTTCTACCCTCTGTCCCATTCTACTTATTCATATGCCTCCTACCTTACACAGGTTTAGCATTCCATTTAAAGTTAACACAGTTCTGAATTCTGTGTTTAATATGTTTTCTGTAATGGGCTGCCTTGTTATTGGGGTTTATGCTTCAGCTTTGGGCTCATATGGTGTGTGAGCTTTTCATTACTCTGCCTATGTCCATGGCAGACCTTGCTAATCAATCATGATAGTCCTCCCCACCCTGAGCCCAGAGGTAGCCCCAGACTCTCACATAGGACCCAGAGAGCCATTTCCAATTGACTGGAGACTGGCCCATGGGGCTAAACCAGTTCACCATCTCACAGAACGGCCCTGGAGAAGGCCCTGCAACTTACCATGGGCATCTTTTGCTCCAGGCTGCCGGGGTCTTGTGTTTCCATTTTTATCACCTTGTAAACCTGCAATATCCCAAAGGTCAGAAGTTGAGACACCTCAGAAGTCAAAACGCAAGCACAGACGATTCTCTTTGTGGTGGTCCTGGCTTCTGACCCCTCCTCTTCTATGTCTGTGCCCCGCCTTCTTGCTCCCATATCCACCCACCATCTATTACTGCTGGAATTGTTCTGGACTTCCTGCTGAGGCGGAGGAAGGACTGACAACCAGGGAGGGAATGACAAGAAAGAGAACTGCAGTCTGTAAGCAAAGGCAGAATTTACCCCGACATCAAAACTTTGTGTTCCTCAGTGGGTCCACCTACAGCCTAGAGCTCCTGCCTTCCTCTGGATTCCCCTGCCATCTTGGAACACAGCTGGGGATGCCAACAGCACCAGTGAATTCATTGCCACGTAAGAACTGACCATGGGAAGAAATGAATGTGGGCGAGGGAAAGGCAGTTTCTATGGAGCCGAAGCCCAGAAAAGTCAAGCAGTTATTAAATTATTCCTCAGGAAGGTTCAAGGGCAACCAAATCCTATCAATCCAGGACCCGTTAATGCAGAATGGTTACCAATAGTTATTAGACTCCTGGGAAACAGGAAAGGAGCTGCTGATTTGAAACCAGGTCAGGAAGATATGGGTCCCTGATGGAGCCAGGGGGAGCTGAGGAGGCAGGTTGTTTTATGCCCCTGAAGCCCACCAAAGGCTGTAAATATAACAATGGAAGGTTGCAAATGTATAGAGGCTCTGAGAAAGAGTTGTCCTTGTGTTCCTTGCACCTACATTTTATTTCCATCTCCATTCTTTGATAGGGTAATGAGGGTTCAACATAGTAGCTAGCATTTATTGTGCACTTACTATGCCTGCCTTGTGCTTTATATTGACAGTCTCATTAAACTTCACAACAGTCCTATGAAGGAAGCTGAATTATTTTCCTCCTCTTATAGATGAGGAATTTGACTCCACAAGAGAGGTTAAGCTACTTGCCCAAGGTAAGAGCTGAGATCTGAACCCAGCCTGTCCACTCTATACCTGACTGCCCTTCTGAGACCCTGACCTCTGAGGGCTACAGGACAAGGCAGGTGGGAGGGCCTGCCTTGCTCAGGCATGGACACGGAGAGAACCTGAGCCCTGGATGCTCTGTAGACTTCATTCCTTGGCCAGCATTTCCCCAGGCCCCTGTAGCTGTAAGGTAGACAGATGCCCAGAGAGGACCAAGAAGGGAGTGGAAAAGACATCATGGGTCTGACCCCATGCACCTTGCACTGAAGGCAGCCAAACGTGGTGGCTAAGAGCACAGGTCTCAGTCAGACCTGGTTTTGACCCACTTCCTAGCTAGTCCCTTCGCAGTTATTTCACCTCTCTGGGTCTCACTTTGGTGATTTAAAAAGTGAGGCATCTATCAAAGGGTTAAAAAGTTAATGAATGTAAAATGTTTACCACTGTGTATGCCACTTTTTAGGCAGACAATAAATGGTATCTAAAACAACACTCTTGTGATGAAATTCATCTTTAGCGAAGTGCTTTGTGTTACCCACACCTAAGTGCACAGACACAAGAACAGTGGGTGTTAGATATGGAGAAGGGAGTCCCTAGAATGAAGCTGTCATGCCTCTGCCTCTTTCCAGTGTGTAGGCCTAGGTTACTCCTCTCCTGCCCCCACAAGATGCCCAGGTTGGACTCTGGCCCATTAAGTGACTGTCACTCCTCCCTCCAGCCCTCCACACATGAGCAGCCCTGTACGTACGTACGTTTAGCCAAGGAGAACTTCTTGAGCAGCTGGGGCATGGCATCTCGAGGGTGGACCTCCACAGTCAGCTGTGTCCCTGCAAAGGAATGGGAGGTGACATTCTCAGCCAGATGCTGCTAGCAAAGGGTGCAATGTCCTATGACAGATGTTTGAACAACAAAACACGATTGGTTTTAAGCTTTCTTCTGAATATACAAGTAATTCTTGTTTAAAGAAATGAAAAACAAAATACAAGCAGACAGTTTCCAAACCCAGGCAAGATGAAATAAGAACACTACCTTGTCTTTTCCAGTGAATACAACTATAAACCTTGGAAAGAATGCACGGAGCAACTATTTGAGGACTCTGTAGTCCTCTGTAAATCATAGAAGGCAAGTCAGGGAATAAGATTAGCATTTAAAGCATCACTAAATTTTCAGTGAGTTTACTATTCCCTTTCCCATATGGTATTACTTAGACTTGACTCACAGGCAGCCCCAAACCCAGAAGTGCACAGTGGGTACAGGGAAATGGTGCTCCAAGAGAAGCTCTTTCTTCCAGCTTGTGGAGTAAGAAGGGAAACCTCTAAGAGTCAGAGAGCATGGGGGAAATCCCCTTTTGGACCTCCCCCATCCCTTTTTTCTATTATCTCCCCATTCAGCCTCTAGGAAAGTCTGTTGGTAGGGGTGTAGTAGTGATTTTGTTGGTCAGCCCAAACCTTAAGCACTCGAGTCTTCGAGGGAAGCTATGATTCCCTAGAGTGTGGGAGCAAATACTCACTGTTTTTTCTCTCTCTCTGTTCCCCACTGATTGTCTCTAGATGTAGACAGAGTTGTGAGAAGTGCCTGGCAGAGTGGGGAAATTAGAGTCCAGCTTTTGTGCTGGAGAATTGAGAAGCGGGTTGTGAAGGGGTGGGAGCTCAAGAAAGCAAATCCATACAGTTCTGGATGAACTCTTGTGGTCCCCTCTGAGCTGAGCACACATGGATCTCATCCTAGACATTATACCACAGTCTTGGAGAACTAAACTATGGTGTAGACCAATGCCTAGACTGGCCACTGGGGGTGCATGTTCTGAGAAGATCTATAGAGCATTGCAAAGGCTACAATCCAAAACTATCCAGTGTAGGAAGAACGAGGAGTTATCTCTACTTGAAAGGAAAAGATAATCAACAGATGCTAACCTTGGGATGATAAAGATTTTGGAATTATCAGACTTGCAAATAGCCATGGAAACCATGCTCTAACAAATAAGGGCAAATAGTCTTGAAATGAATGGAAAGATACCAAGAATCAGCAAAACGTCAGAAGATACAAAGAAGAAACAAAATTTTAGAGGTAAAAAATATAACAGTTTGAAAAACTATCTGGATATGCTAAATAATATATAGAGATGACAGAAGAGTCAGTGAACTTGAAGAAAGATAATATAAGAAACAGAGCAAAATGAATTGAACTTCAGAGACCTGTAGGATAATACTTTAAGGTCTAACATTCATGTTACTGAGATCCCAGAAGGAGAGGAGAAACAGTGTGGTACAGAAAAAAAAAGTAAAGAAATGATGAGAAAGTAATCAATGAAACCAAAAGCTGATTCCTAGGAAAGATCAGCAAAATTGATAAGCCTGTAACCAGATTGACCAAAAAGAAAAAGAGGTAAGACACAAATCAGAAATTAAGACACCAATATCAGAAATGAAACAGGTGAGAACACTACAGATCTTGTATGTATTAAAAGAATAATAAGGGAATACTACCAACAACCCAATGCACGTAATTCTACAACTTAGATGAAATGGATCAATTCCTTGAAAGCTACAAACTACTAAAACTCACCCAAATAGAAAACCTCAATATCTCTACATCTATTTTGAAAACTAATTGTAGTTCAAAATCTTCCAGGAACAAACAAAGGCCAGGTCCAGTTGGTTTCACCAATAAATTCTAACAAACGTTTAAAAAGAAATAAGATCAATTTTTAAATAAGATCTTTCAGAAAACAGAATAGTAAATATTTCATTACCCATTATATGAGGCCAGCATTAATCTGATACCAAAACCAGACAAAAACAGTATAAGAAAAGAATATTACAGATGAATATTTCTTATGAACACAAAAATTCTCAAAAAATATTAGAAAATTAAATCCAGCAATATAGTAAAAGAATACCATGGCACTGCAAAGCTGGTTCAATATTTGAAAACCAATTAATGCAATTTGCCATATTTGCAGGCCAAAGAAGAAAAACCACATGATCATTTCAATGGGTGCAGAAAGTACATTTGACAAATTTAACATCTATTCATGATGAAACTTCTCAATAAACTAGGAATAGAAGGGAACTTCCTTAATCTGAAAAAGAGTATCTAACAAAAATCTACAGCTAACAGCATATTTAATGGTCAAAAATGGAATGCTTTCCCCCTATGACTGGAACAAGGCATGGATGTCCACTCTCACTGCTCCTAACAAACATTGCACTGGAAGTTCTACCCAGTGAAATAAAACAAGAAAAAGAATAAGAAATAAGAAAAGAAGAAAAGAAAAATAAATAAAAGTCCTATAGATTAGAAATAAATACAACTCTCCTTATTCACAGATGACATGTCTATGTGTGTAGAAAATACCAAGTAATCTACAAAGAAAGCTCCTAGAACTAGTAAGTTTAGCATGGTCACAGGATACAAGGTCAGATACAAAATCAATTCTATTTATAGTCACAATAAATGATTGGAAATTGAATTTAAAAATCAGTATTTCCCATAGCTCCAAAAATTGAAATACTTAAATATAAATCTAAAAAAAAAAAAGTGCAAGAGCTGTATGTTGAAAACCATAAAGTATGATCAAACAAATTAAAGAAGACTTGAATAAGTGGGAAGACATACCATGCTCATGAATTGAAAGACTCAATATTGTTGTCAATTCTCCCTAAATTGATCTATAGATTTAATGCAACTTCATTCAGACTCCTTAAAGGAATTTTATAGATGTTAGATATAGGCAAGATAATTCTAAAGTTTAGATGGAAAGATACAGCAACTGCAGTGGCCAAACCAATTTTGAAAAAAAAAAAAGTTGGAGGAACCAGCTATTTGATTTTAAGATGTGCTATAAAGCTACAGTCATTACACAGTGTTATACTGGCAAAGGGACAGATATATAGATCAATGGAGCATAATAAATAGTTAAGAAATAGACCTACACAAATATGGCAAAGTGATTTTTTACAAAAGTGCAAAGACATTTCAATTAGAAAATGGGTAAAAGAAGAGATTACAGATGGCATATAAGCACGTCAAATGATGTTCAATATGATTAGCCATTAGGAAAATGCAAATTAAAATCACAATGAGATATCATACCTATTAGAAGAGAAGTAATAAAAAATAGTGATAATACTCTACGTTGACAAGGTTGTGGAGAAATCAGACCTCTCAGACATCGCTGGTGGGACTGTGAAGTGATACAGCAACTCTGAAAACAGTCTGTCAGGTTGTTATAAAACAAAACATATACTGAACATCTGACCCAACCACTGCACTCTTGAACATTTATCCCAGAGATATAAACACTTACGTTTGTTCATACAAAAACCTATACACAAATGCTTATAGAAGCTCTATTCATAATCACCCTAAACTGGAAACAGCTTAAATGTCCTTCAATGAGTGAATGGATAAACACCCTATGGTACATCCATATCAAGGAATACTTCTCAACAATACAAAGAAACTCTTAGGAGAGACAGGAGGATGTAACCACTGACATTTTGCACAAGAGGATTTTGGGGTGACAGAACTGCCCTGTATTCTGACTATAGTAGTCAGAATATGAGCATGCGTTCTGTATGCGTTAAAACCCATGCAAGTATATGCCAGACAATTCAATTTTAGTAATTTAAAATAAAACAAAAATAAATATAAGTACCAGTTGAGCAAACAAGCCTGAGAAGAATTAAAACAAGAACTGGATGATCCAGAACAATACAAAATGGAAATTCAAAGTCCAGAGCAGGATTATAGTAAACACCTGCTTCCTTCTCGAGTCTTCACACGTCAGTGAATCTGGTCCTATGTCATCGTTTTAAGTGAGCTGGATAGTACTCTATTCTGTACATCGTTTATAATCCATATAAGCAATCCCTTTTGGTTGGATAGTTAACTTCTCCCAAATATTTTGCTATTAGAATCAGTGATGCATGAACATTCTGATACACATCTCTTTACACACTTTTCAAATCAGTCCCTTTGAATACATTTTTAAATATGGATCTTTTGCTGTATTTTGGCAAACTTCCCATGAATGATTTTATCAGTTGATCACACCAACAGCACAAGGGAGTGTCCATTTTGCTCATTCTTACTGTGTTTGATTGCAAAATTCATCACAAAACTTCGTACTTCCAACGAGAGGTCTTTTGTTCTGCCCCTTGAATTTGGGCTATCTATAGGACTTGGTTTGTCTAGTTAGCATGGGATGTTAACAGAAGTGGTCCTGGGGAAGCTCTGAGCGTAGGTCTCAAGGAATTTTGCAGCCTCCACTCTCATCCTTGGGATTCTAGCCACAACTGCCGTGTGAATGAGCCCAGGCTAGCCTGCTGGGGGTGGAGAGACCACGTGGAACACAGCAGAGGCATCTCAGGTGAGGCCACCCTACCCTACCTGGTCTCCAGCCAACTTACCAGCTGACCACAAATACATGAGCAAGCTGAGCCAAGACCCGTGATGAACTGGGCGTATCTCAGGCAGGAACGCACAGCCAACCTGTGAGCTGGTAAATGCTTATTATTTTAAGCCCCTGAGTTTTGGGGTGGTTTGCAATGTAAAAATAGATCACTGATATACTCACTGACGTGTGATTTTATCAATCTCTGAAATTTTTATTAATGAACAATGGCATCTCATTTTTGTGCATTTAATTTTTAATGTATTTTTCATATAGTTATTTGCCATTTGAAATTCTTATTTTGTGAATTGCCTATTTTCCTAGTTGTATTATTTTTTCCTTATGAGTTTTGTAAGAGCTCTTTTTACTAACCCTTTCCCTGCTAAATGTATTGCGATGGTTTTCACAGAATGACAATACTGACTATCTTGTATAGCTCAGAAACTTGCTCTGCATGCCAAAGAGGGTCATTCTCAAACAACTTAATAAGATACAATGTGACCTTCCCAGGTATTACTTTGAAGGGGTTAACCTTCACTTTGAGGGTAGTTTCTAGTACATTCACTGTCAAAGAAAATCAGTGTGTGACTTTATAATTAAGACTTTAAGCATTTCAGAGCTCAAAGCATAATTCAGTTCTGGTTATAGGATCGAGTGTCAATGCCAAGAGCAAACACTTCCTGTGTGTCTTCCCATGCTGCGTGAAGCACAGGCCTATTCTCCTTTGCCTTTTTACTTTTCCCATCTGAAACACTTTCGGGTGTTTTTCAAAGTGGGTGCCAAGCTGTACTTGGCTACAAGATGCTTTACAAGAAAAGGATTTGAGAAACATGTCCACTGTCTCTCTTTTTGTAGGTCGTAATGTGTAACGCTGTGAGAAGTCCTGCAGAGAAGAAGTCAGTTTGACCCAGTACTATTTTGTGAGACACAATTTGGAAAACGCTGGACTGCAACAACCTCCAGAAGCTTAAAGAAGGTGCAGAACTGAACAACTTGGTTTAGTCAACAGCAAACCTCTTCCCCCAACTTCTCACATCTAACATACAGGCGCTTCCAACCACCCCCAATTCAGCCCTGGCTCTTTGTCCAAGAATGAGTGAGGTGAGAAACTAGGTACTGGTAAAGCGGTGGTAAAGGTGGGCATTGAGGTATTCTCACACCCGGATGTGGTCCTGTTCTGCAACCTCCACCTAGCACCATTTCCAATCCCTTCTCTCTTTCCTGAACTTCCTCTTTCCTCCCCCTTCTTGGACAGGGGCCCAATTTCCAATATCCTCCTGAGCCCCACTTCCTGACTCTCCTCCAAAGAGGCCCTGCTAATCAGCCCCCTGCTGAGGAAAACAGCACAGCTGCTTAGCCTTCCTGATCTGTGGGAGTGTGATACCCACTCTTGTCACACACAGGTGTGTGAGGGCATTTTCGGAGGCCTCTCTGCCCCAGAAACTGGGCCTGGGTGTGCTGTCGCAGGTGAGCAGCAGTCACTGGAGAGCCCTGTGCTCCCTAAAGGAGTGAAATGGTAAGATTTTGCAGACTACTATATTCCTGTATCACATCAAGTCTTAATCTAAGAAGAAAATTAATTTGACCAATTTCCAATGAATGAGAGTGGAACATCATTTGGAGCAAAATTTAAAGTAAGATCTAAAACCTAAGTATAGTCAGATACCATCACACCAATCTTAACAGTCACGACCAAACCCACAGGAGGTCCTTCCCGGGACTTCAGGTCACCTGGCTGGCTCTCTCATGGCATCCCTCCCTGGTTCTACCAGTCGTCACCGAAATACCACTTCTGAGGCTGCAGCCCTGGCTGTCTTAGTAGCAGCATATCAGCAGTTGCTTGAGAAGTGCCTCTCAGGCCCCTGCCCCAGGTGCCACCAGCTCCGTGTCCTTTCCTCTTAAGCCCTCAGATCCGGAGATGCAGCAGGAAGCCCCAGAACGTCCCTGCCCGTGGCCCTACTGCCTTGGGTCTGCCTTTTACCTGGTCGGGAGAGTTCTCCCTCCAGCGGCTTCTCCCCAGGTCTCTGCAGGTCTGAATCAGGATTTGTCTAAAGCCCTAATTTGCTCAGAATATCTAATGCAGAGATGGCAAACAGATTTCGTGTTGTTCATTAACTCTGACTGGCTGCAAGTAGCTGCCTGGAGTGTTGATCAATTAGCAAAGACTGTCAGGCACGTGTGTGTGTTATGAATGTGAGTGTGTGTGAGCATGCACACGTGGGGGGGGGGGTGTCTGTGTGCCTAGGGCTGCAGGATTCAGGTCAGATACTTGCTATCCTTGCCTTAAGGTGCTCACTAACGTTTTCTGTACCTGGAACCCGGGTTAATAACCGTACCCAGGTTAGTAGCCGGGTTCCTTGCCTTGGAATGTTCCTCTGCAGTAGTTGAGAGTCAGGAAGCCTCAGCTAAAGCATCTGTAATTTAAAAACGCCCTTAAAGAGCCCCAGGGTAGGTGTTCAGCAGGGCTGTGCGTGGTTTCAGCCCAGGGACTGGTAGTCCGCTTCAGTGCAGGAAGCCTAGTGCTCTGACAGCCCAAGAGCAGCATGCTGGATGATGACAGGGACAGTCTAACTCTGCAGAACCCTTGTCAGTCTCCACTGGATGCAGCGTGAAAGGCCCACTCAGCAGCCCGAGTCACCAGGTGACAACCTGACAACCGAGTGGGCTGAGACGGCTGGGACACCATCCAGGGGGTGATGAAGGGTGTCTCTCGCAGCCCTGACCGACCCCGGCTTTCACCGGGCTCTTGAAAACAGAGGGCCATTCATGATCCCTTCTGCAGCACGGAGCTCCACAGGAGCATCCCATATCTGGAAACATGGCCGTCTGACCCCAGTGCCTGCGTGACCAAAGAAGGAATGGAGTGTCTGCTTGGGGACAAATGACCAGCAAGAAAGGAAGCCTCAAAAGAAAACTGGCTCCTCAGGAATCACTTTTGGGGCCCCAAGTCACAGGGGCTCCAGCAACCACCCTCCTGTCTCCTCCCTCACACACCCATTACAGATTAATCTTCTGAAGCACCCTTCCGCATGGAGATCCGAGACTCCACTGATCTGTTTGTCAGCTGTTGCATAAAATTTATCATACCTGGTGCTCCCTCTCCTGGATGCTCTTTCCCAGATGCCCACATGGCTTGCTCCCTCACCTCCTCCCTTATTCAAATGTCACCTTCTCAACTACTCTGTTTTAAATTGTACCCAGGTGGTAGGCTGCATAGCGGCCCTTAAAGATAGCCATGCCTTAATTCTAGGAACCTGTGAATGCTCCCTTATATAGGAAAGGGGACTTTGCAGATGTGATTAAGTTAAGGATCTTGAGATAGGAAGATCATCCTGGATTATCTGGCGGGCCCTAAGTAATCACAAGGATTCTCATAAAACAGAGTCAAGAGATTAAACTACTAATGTGGAGAAAAGGCCATGTGACAATGGGCACAGAGAATGGAGTGGTGCAGGTGTACAAGTCAAGAAGTGCCAGCAGCCTCTACAAACTGGAGGAGTCAAGGAACAGATTGTCCCCTAGAGCAGGTGGGTGGCATGTGAGTGGCCCATGAGAGCCAGGGTGTGGTGTGCCAAGTGGGGCTCTGGTGTCTGGTGGGCCCCATACCACTCCTATCTGTCTGGGACACCATGGGGACAGTGCAGTGTGGAGGTCTGGCAGGTGTGCCTGACTCGGGGACCACAGTACCCTGTCTCAGTTTTCTTGTGCACAAATGGGGATAACACCATGGCCCTATCAGGGGGCATAGCCAGAACTAAGCAAGATTGGCAGTGGCTAATCCACTTTCCTTTTAGTGAGGTATTGCTTATTTTTGTTTTGTGGTGAGCTGTGTGCTGCTAGTTCGCTTCAGGGAAGCAGGGGGGCCTGGGTTTGTCTTTGCAGTGCTCAGGGCAGGGGGCAGGTTGTGGTGGGCCCACTGAGGGGGGCCTGCTGTGGAGCCATAGTCCCCGGAGTTCTGCCGTAAGATACACTGGTCGGGGTCGTGCTGGTAAACCCATCTTGACAGGCCCTTCCTCACCGCCTGCCAGTGCCTTTCTGTGGTGATGGTGGGTTAGTCTGTGATTCTGAGAGCGATTCCGTGAGAGGCTCCGAGTCCTCCAGGGACTCCTACTTTGCCACTGCTCCCTGAACACGAGCAGATAATTTCTTTACAAGTTAGAACATCAGTGCTGAGAGCAAAGGGGTGAAATCTTAGGGCTGAGTCTATGAGAGCTCTCAGATAGATACCAGGCCCTGAGTCTTTAATGCAGAGCAGGAGGCCAAGGTGGGAGGTTATTGGTGGGGAGGGAGAGAGGAGGGGGCTGAGTAGGGGGTGGGAGTCTCTATTTAACCTGGCCTCCCCTCCAGCCGGAGCTGTAAAGTCCTCCCATCTCTATCACTGTAGCCTCACCACCCCACATACCCTGTGTTCTCAGATCTGGTCAACTGCAGAGTCAGCATGGTGATGCCCTTGCCTGCCCTCCCAGAGCCCCGGAACCCATCCCAGCAAAGTGAGGATTCTCAGGGAAGAGCTCTCTCGGGGAAGGGCCCTCTCACTTCCCCTTGCCGAGTTAAACTCATTCCTTGTGGGGAGGGCCCTGGAAGACTCAGACTCCGCTGTGACTCAGGAGGAGGGAAGGCTTGGACAGTGGGTAGGCAGTGGGGAGGCCGGTTTCCAGAGGCGTTGTGGAAGCAGGGCTGTGTGAGGGTTAACAGCTGAGGCCTTGGTGGTGGCTGTAGCGGGGTGGGCAGGTTCCCCCAGCTCTGACTCTCACCAGCCATGTGCTCTCAAACATATGACAACTTTTCCAAGCCTCAGTTTACTCATCTGTAAATTGAGGACAGTTAAGAGGACCTATCAGATAGGTAAGCTTCATTTACATGAGAATAATTATGTAAATGGATCGGCAGGGTGCCTGGCACTCGGTTAGCACTCATAAATGTTGGCTATAGTGAAGACAGCAAGGGTGAAGAGGACAGCTGTGAGTTCTGTGGCCTAAGGACTTTATCACTCTATCCCATGCAGCCTCTCACTGTTTCCCGTGGGACACGGGGAGAGGGAGAAGAAAAAGGTGCTCCAATGTCCACAGGGCAGAGGGGATCCTGCTCCCCCCAGTCTGTGCTCTGCACTTGCTGTCTCTGGCCTGGGCAGCAGATCCAGCCACACAGGAACTGGAGGAGAGGTCACGGGTAGCAGTGAATCCTTACCTTGGTTGTCGTAGGAAGTGATGACCTGGGTCTGCTGAGGGTGCTGTTTCTCCGCCAGGTTTCCTGTAGACGCAAGACAGAGGGACCTGCAGTGGCCACAGGGACTGTGGAGGAGTTTGCCCCAGGCAAAGCAAGGAGCAAGGAGCTGTGTGCGTCCGCCAGAAAGGTGAGCTGGTGGGGGTCAAGCTCACCCTAGGCCTGGCTTAACCATGCGCACACCCACGAGCACATCCCCATGGTGTACACACGTGGGAATAGGCACAGTTCCACACATGAATGCAGAGGCAAATTACTATGAACCCGTGTGCACACACCCTCACACCTCTCAGCAGGTGCCAGCAGAGGCTGGGTTTCTTCTCCATAAGGTGGGGACAGCTCCAGTGGGCTGAGTAACCATAACTCCCAACTTTAGTGTCACCAGGCTCAGTTGCCAAAATACAAAAAGATGCCTCACTGATCATCATGCCTTTCTATCCCCATTTTACAGCGGATGAGCCTGCTGCCTGGAGGCTTAACTTCTGGCCAAAGACCCTCCTGCTAGGGTAGGTCAGACTGGGATCTGAACCCCAAGTCTTCTGATTCCTAGCTCAACCTCCTCCTCTGAGAAGAGTGGAGGCAGCCTTCCTAGCTTAGGAGTTGGGGTGATTGCCGCATGGGTCAGTTTTGGAGACATTTGCAGGGCATCCGCTATGTGATAGCTCTCTCCATGCACGAAGGGTATTTATGTCCTGGAACACAGAGCTGTCCTCAGAGCCTAGTGGGGTCAGCTTGCTGTGGAGAAATGCCCAGTTCCTGCCACAGGCCATGAAGGGGGAACCCACAGGCTTACCTGCCCCTCCTATGGGATGCAACACCTTCTGCTACATCTTTCCCTTAACAGCTGCTGTGGTGGCCTGGTCTTGCTGAGGCTGCTTCAGAGGGATCAGGGAGGGGCTGGAGAAGGGCCAGGGTTGTGGCAGCAGGGGGTTCCCCCACTGTTACCACCCTCACTTGCCACCTTCTCCCCTGGCCTCACACTGGTCTGCAGAAACGGTGTCGGGCCTGCCATTGGAAGTAGCCACTGGGACCAGTGACTGAGCCTGGAAATAAGCATGCCTCTGGGGCACTGGCCTAGGCAGGTTCCATTCAGATGACTTCCCTGGACCCAATCAGATCTGCCACTCCGTGCTTCCCACACCTTGGCCTAGGTAGAAGCCAGTCAAGGTGGGTAGGCAGGTCACTGAGCTGGGCTGGACTTGTGATCCAGCTGGCAGGGTCTTGCCCTGGAGAACCTGCCTGCTCCAGCCTTCTCCTATGAGCAGGCCCAGCCAGGACCCTCACCCCATGGGCTGAGGTCGGTGGGTTGGCCAAGGGCTAGGAGCACTGTGTGTGCCAATCCAGGGTGATGCTGGTCTGGAGCTCTAGGCCAGACTTAGGCGAGGACAGGGAGGCCACCTCCTTCAGGCACAGCTGGCTACTTCTCTGCTGGGCTGGCCGATGAAAGAAACAGGATCTGGGAGGGAATCCTCAAGGAGGACGATTGGCTGGCATAGCTGCTGTGGGTATTTATAGTCAGGGCTGCACAATTGGTTTCCCTGTGGCTGTGGGGTGTCAGTCCCTGTGCTGCTAGGCAGACTTCAGCCAGGACCAAGGAAAGCAGCCAATCACAGTAGGGGAAGCCCGTTGCTGGGCAAGCTAGTGGGGTTGGCTGGGCCCAAACACCTGCTGCTCGGAAAAGTTTGGACCAGTCCAGGCTCCCCCCACCCTGCCAACGCCCCAGCCCAAGGAGTGCACAGGGCAGCAAGAGGGGGAACATGTGCCTTTTTGGATCAGCTCCATGTTCAGCCACATTTGTGCACACTCCACCAGCATAAGCCGTCAGCTGCCTCCTTTGCAGATGAAAGCCGTCCAGTTTCCAGGGCTGGGTGCCTTGGGCACCAGCAAGGCAAGTATGTACCCAGAATCTTGCCATTAGAAAACACAGAAAAAAAGCTGTAATTTTAACTTCTGCATGCATGCAAACGTGCAATTTGAAAAATAAATAAAAATAAAATTTTACTTTAAATTACATGTATCAGTGGAGTGGTGCAGCCATCATTTTTTCCAGGCTCAAGGCCTCTGTAGAACCTCTCTCCAGCCCTCCATTTACCTGAAACTCTCCGTTCTCGGGTAGTTTTGCAAGAACTACTTTAGTGATCTTCTTTATTTAATTATTTTTTAAAAAATATTTTTATGTTTTTTTAAAGTAATCTCTACACCCATCATAGGGTTCAAACCCACAACCCTGAGATCAAGAGCCACATGCTGCACCAACTGAGCCAGCCAGGTGCCCCATGATCCTATTTATTTTGTTGTATTTTTCCACTAAATTTCCCTCAAACCAGGGATGCTAAAGATGGTAAAAATAGGATAAATTTACTATATTTCAATCTTCTAATGTAAGAATGTGGCCAAGAAGCCATAAGATGAATTTCAGACAACTCAAGGTGAGAGAGCTGTAACAAAGGAAGATGCCGTGTCTCTTTCCTCCCACTGCAACCCACTTGCCCACTCACCCACTTGTACGCTGGCCAAGCAGTGCATACCTGTACCAGCTGCTGTGCATTTCTGCAGCTGACAGGTTTCTGGTGGTCTGATTCTTATAATTCTCATGAGCCTGAAGCATAGTTTTGCTAACTTTGGCATTTGCTTCAGTACAGCCAGAGTTGACGCATCTATCGCCCTATGGCCTCGTAACAAGGTTAAAGAAGCCATCCCACCGTGTATGCCCATTAGCCAGGACCCTGAGGGGTAGTCCTCAGGTCAGGGGTATGTCTTAAGGACAACGTGTCCCCATGCACAGGGCAGGGGACACAGGAAAGCTCTTCACTTCCAGGGAGTTGAGACTCTATTGCAGTGAAAAGCATCATGATTATAACCATCAATGTGGTGCCATGAGGGCAGCGTTCCTGACTATCTTCATCTCAACAACTGGATCCCTGCCTGGCACAAAGTAAGCCCTGTAGAGCTTTATTAAGGGAATGAGTGAATGAATTTACTTCCCTTTTGTTAGCAGAGCATAGCTGTTTGGTCTCAGGCAATTGGGGTCCTGATTCCCCATCTGCAGAGGGTCATGGGGGGTGGTATCTTCACACTGGCATTTGATGGGCCCAGATCTGACTGAGCCCCCTGATGGAGCTCTGGGAGTGGAGGCCTAATTCTTAGTAGAATTCTCACGTGCCTACAGTGAAGTTTCACTGATGTTTGTTCTGGAAGCTGGGCTAATGAATCTGTGAAAGGTACAGAATAAGGCCTAGTATAGTCAGTCCATGCATGGCACTCCCAGAGATGTCCTGGGCCTGTTCCCTGCAGGGCAACAGATGCCTGGCACCAGAGAAAGGAGGCTTTGGAAACTGACTTCTCTGAGCTTATTGTATTCTGGGTCCCAGGCCATCCGGGAACCATAGCACCCATCTCCCTAGGCCTGGAGCAATAATGTCCCAAAGCAGGCCATTGTCCTCTCCATTTGGAAAAAATTTCAAAGATGGCTGCCCTGCATGACATAAGCAGCCCCACCCCCAGTGGGAACACACTCAAACCTCACCATGCCAGATGATGCTAAGTCCTTCCCTATATATAGCCAGTGAACAAGTGGGTGCTCAACCTTATGGAATTGCTCCCCTCCCCTCACAGCGTCCAGGAAACTGGGGGACCTGATCTCAGGGAAAACTTTCTAGAGTCACAGCAGCCCCAGAGCTTTGCTGAGTCATGAGCAGCTACTTCCTGAGTGGTTAGATGTCTAGAGCCAGTTTTCGAACATGTGAAATCTAATGCTTCCAGTCATTTTTCAATGTGTTGAATTACAGAGATTGAAAGGAAAACAAAATGAAAAGAGAGAATTTACCATGCACGTCATTTCCTTCGAATTTCTGCCATCTCCGGATTCCATTTCCGACACCTTGGAGTCCTGTGGGATAACAAGGTCTGGAGTGAGGTTCTCAGTGGCCGGGAGACCCAGGCCAGCGAGTGACAGGTCAGTTGCAAATGTATCTGGGGTGAAGTGGGGCTGGTGGAACTTGGCTCTCTCAGGATTCAAGGGGGACTGCCTGTGAATGAGATGCACTTTAAAATATTAAAACAGTGGTTTCCAAGGATGGTGGGGTTGGTTATCAGCATCATCCAGGGAGAATTTTCACGGTGCAGATGCCTATTCTTCACTCCACATCTCTACCTCTTAAATATGGAAGTATTATTGTAGAAGATGTTTGCCATTGATTTTGCCTTCCTCTTCCTGTATGTGGTGAATCTCCCACTGTTAGGGTCATGATGTGAGGTGGGGGATGGGCAAAGATGGTCTATCCCTGTGGAAACTGCAAGTGATTGTTGCCTACTCTCCCAGCCTCCCTTGCAGCTAGAGCATGGATGTATGTGGCCTAGGCACAGCCAGTCAGATGCACCTGCATCTGGTTCCATCTTGGGACCTGGTGATGCAAGAGGGAAGGGAATGGAAGTGCTTGCGTACTCTCTCTCTGGTCCTGGCTGAAAGTGGTGGCTGCAAGGTCCAGTTCCTGGCGCAGAAATGGCGTATGTTCTGGCAATGGGAGCAGCTGCAATAAAATCAAGTTCCTGGTGAGGACGGAGTATCTAGGGCTCCTTGGTGGCAACAGAGGTTTCCTCACCAGACCAGCCCTGCTGTGCAGCTTATGGCACTCTTCCTGGAAGCTGTGCCTCTAGCCTGGTTCTCCAGCCCTTTCAACCACTCCTCAAGTCCCTCTGTCCCTTCCTGATGCTCTTCTATTCTGCAGAACTCTCCGCAGCCAAGATCTGGGGCTTGTGGCTCAGAACCGTCGCTGACACACATGTAGAGTAGAATACACACATCACACTGACTTGGGGGATGAAACCTGACTTGGGGCAGGGGACTTTAGGCCACCTCCTCCATGGCTAGGGGGTATATGACAGGAAGTGAGGGCACCCAGGCATATTTTTGAGAAGCACTGCACAATGGAAAATGCTAGGGCCATAGAGGGAAAGAGCAGAGAGCATCTGTTGGCAGCCCAAATCCCTGGCACATGCTGCCTTTGCCTCCTTTCCCTCTGACTCTTTTCTGCCACAAGGACAGAGCAGAAAGCCACCCAGTCCTCTGTACCGTGACAGTAATGGAGCTCAGGCCCTCCTTTGCAGAGCCAAGGACCTGGGCTGGGGGCGGTGGGGGGACAGGAGGAGATGCCTGGAAGAGGTGTGGGGGCGTTTTGGATCTTGTGCACCAACAGGAGGCCTTGGAACAAGCTTGTCTAGTTCAGTGTTTCCCTGCCTTGGGCTGTGTGGGCCCATAGGCTGGCTTAGCCAGGGGTCTCCTGGACATCACCATTGCCCAGCAGGCCTCAGAGGCTGTGCATTCTCACTCTTCTATACTCTGGTACAGAACTGTCTGATTGTAAATAAGTGACACTGGTCTCTGCACTGCCATAGTGTCTGGGAAAAAACCTCCGTCAGGAAAGTTGTGGAGGAAACTAGCAGAAAGGGCTTGGCAAGCAGGGCCTTCTTGCCTTGCATCATGGTCATGAGTGTGAAATGCATTGGTCTGGAGACTGTAGGGTTAGTGCTAGGGGTCAGACACCTCTGAACCAGTCCTGATCCCTGGCATTTCCGAGGCTTCCCTGTGTTGTTGAAAGGCCCTCTCTTTCTAGTGTTGGAGCCTTTAGGAGAGATGAGATCAGAGGGGGCGGGGGAGGGAGGGACTCACAGGCTGGCCTGGAGCCAGGCCTTGTGGGGGTCCTCTGGCCTTGCCATGCATAGGGGGAGGCCTTCCGGACTGCAGTGTCCAGAGTAGAAGCAGTCTCTTTTCTATCAAGGAGCAGAGGGCCTCTGCCGATTTCCTCATTACAAATACGCAGGGTGGGGGGCATTTCCGCCTCTCCTGGGAGCAGCTCTGGGAATGGAAGAACCAACTAACCCAAACAACTGGCCTCAAATCCCGCGGGAGATCGGAGTACCTATCAACATTCTCAGCTCTCCAGAATCTATTTCTTTCCCTGCCTTCCTCCCCAAGAGGTCACAAGGAACCATGGGGCAGGTCCAGCCTATGTGACTGGTGGGGGCAAAGCCATTCAAGGCACCATTGCTTCAGTGTGGCAGGTGGCAGGTGGATGTGCAATGCACCAAGGGCTGTTAAAACATCAGTCCCAAAGCACTGGCCCTCCGTGAACCTAGCACAAACCTCACACCAGCCCCCGTGAAGGCTCGGGATGGCCTCATCATACACCTAGGACTTCTGAGGGGCTTTAACATCCCCTATTCTCCATCTGTATTCTCTTCAGTGTGCCCTTTCCTCTGGGATTACAGAGGCCTGAGTGCTGCTTTCCACAATTGCTCTATAAAGAGTCACTTTATTTTTCCAGTCTACCCTTTCTCAGAAAGTCTACAGGAGGAGTAAAATTAATAGATCTGTGAGAGCGGAGAGAGCAGATTTTCAGCTTACTCTAGCAAGCCTTTTACACCACCCTTATGCCTTCTACTGTAGGAGGCTGAGAGAGGCTTCAAGAAAGGGGAAACTGAGGCCATGAGTTGTGCAAGGACACCAAGGGAGCTCCCCGTCTCAAAGTCTGATTCAGCACACAGATTCCCCTGGGTCCCCTGCGCTCTACAAAGTGCCATGTGAGGAGCAGGCCTCGGTCACCCAGGGGTCAGGACTGAGGTTCTGGCCCCCTTCCTCCCAGGCATCTTCCAACCCTGTCGTGCACCCTTCGGAGAGTGGCTGGGAGGAAGCTGGCTCCCGGGGGGTGACGGAAGCACAGGGAGTCAACCCGGGGCAATCACGGGGCTGCGCGTTGCCACGGGACGGGACGGGACGCCGGTGCTTGCAGAGGAGCAAGAGGAGCAGGCAGCGGTGGGGAGAGAGGGTCGGTCTCCCTGGCCTCTTTCGGGGGCGCGTGGGGCGCCCCCCGGCGGGCGGGCCCCAGGCGAGGAGGCCGAGGTGCCGGGGTCTGGGGGCCCGGGCCGGGCGCTCGTTACCTCCTCTGCGCTGCGGCAGCGCGCCCGGGTCCGCCTGCCGGTCCGAGTGCGTGCCGTGCGCTGCGCGCCGTTTCTCCGAGTGCACGATCAACAGCATGTCGATGGACACGGCGTTGCTGTCCTTCTTCAGCTCCATGGTGCCGCCTCGCTCCCCGCCGTTGCGCCGCGGCCGCTCTCGAGGCTGCCTGCACTGCAAATGGCCCCGTGCGCGCCGCTGGCCGGCGCGGGAGACCGCGAGGGCGCGGGAGAGGGCGCTCCCCCGCCGCCGAGCCGCTGGGCGCCGCGTTTCGCTGACTCTGCCAAACACGCCATTAGGGCCCGCCCGGGAGGGCGCTACCCTAATGAAGCCGCTCTAAGTCACCTTTGAAAGGAAATCCCGGGCCGAGCCCTGACCTGCACGCAGGCCGCGGGCGGCACAGCCACAGGCTCTAGCGCCTCCTACCCCGTGCGCTTGGAGCGCTCGTCCCGGGCTCCAGAGCCCTTCTCCCGCTGGCCGGGCGCTGCCTGGTCTCCGCAGCTGGTCCCGGGATTCCCGGGAGGGCCCGAGGTAGACCTTCTCCGGAGCCTTCGGCGAACGCAGAAATCTCACGGTGCTGTCAACAGTGAGAGTAAATTCGGGAAAAGGAAAAGCAGCACGGGGTGGCCCCGCTCCTTCCCTTCCCCGGGTGGGTTTTGGAGGTTGATGGCTTCCTCTATAAGAGAGAGATGGGTAGGGTGTTGGGGTCCGGACCTCTGCGATTATGGCTGCACCAGAACTTGGAACATGACTACTGGGCATCAACTTAACAGTTCTTTCTGGCTTGTGGTGAAAGTCTTAACATCTCTGTTCCTTCTAGAAGCCTGGCTCATGCTCCTTGGGGAAGGGGGGGAGGGGCAGAGGAGGAGGCTGGTGCAGGGAGCAGCCTGCCTGCTGTGCTCAGGGAGCTGGACCTGAGAACCCATCTATTTTTAGTGGGGCCCGGCCTGCCCAGCCAGCAGCAGCAACAGGCCCTTTGGCTCTGGGTCTCAGGAGTGTTTACAGCGGCATCTGCCTGCTAGCCCTTGGCACGGTGGGCCCACCCAACCTGGGCCAGTCCCCTAACTTAAGTTTCCACCATTAATAAATGTCGTGCACCCGGAAGCCTTTGCTCTGGGCCCCTTCGTATTGGAGTGTGATGACCCTACCTTGCAGTGTGGTTCCTGAGAGCCCCCGCCTCCCCCTCGGAGGCAGACTCTACTGTGTAGGCCTAGGTTCCAGTCTCAGCTTGGCCACTCGCTGCCGGTGTGACTGTGGACAAGCCATTTCCTTCCATTTCCCCACCTCTATCATGGCATGATACAAGTTCTCACAGGGCTGTTGTGAGAACGTGTACTTGAGGTGCCTGGCGCGCAGCAATGGTAGCTGTCATTCATACTTGATTTTAAGGGGGGAGGAAAAGGACAGGTGAGGTGACAAGTCAGTGGGGGGTGGGGGACACACAGATCTACCCTCAGATTCTGAAGATCTTTGTCCGCGGACTGTGACTCACAGTTTGTCTGCCAGTAAAGGCCAGCGCCTTGCTGCGTCACCACTACCCCTCGCCCACTGGGCATCTGAGGAAGGAGATGTCACTGGTTTCTGACAGTGTTGAATTGCAGTCCCAAGAGAGCTGAGCTGCGGGACTGGCGTAGGTGGGTAACTCCCAAGGCATGTTTCCTCATGTAGTGAGTCCTGTCCCTTGCTGTCCTGCCTGCATGTGTGCATATGCGCGCGCACACACACACACACACACACACACACACACACACACACACCTGGGAGGCTGGCTGAGGCTTGTTTTCTAGATGGCTAGGGAAGTAAGAACAATGGATTCTTTAAAGTTCCTGGAGTCTTAGAGATTGCCTAGGTGGCATCCCCCATCTGACCTGAGAAAGCACCGTGTACCTCCTTCAAGGGTGTAGGTCCCAACAGAAGCTTCTGTGCAGCACCTCTCATTACTCAATGGGGCCGAGTGGGAAGGTCAAGGAAGCTGAAGCCCCCTTGCCTGAAATTTGCATTCCCATCCTGGTTCCTTACTCCCCAGCTGGAGAGCGTCACTGTGAGGAGCTTGCTTACATGACATCCCATTCCAGAGCTGCCTCTGAAGCAGGAGATGATGGGGGGTTGTATCACCCAGAGGTCCAGGAAGCTGGTCTGGGGGCCTCCTGCCCCTCCAGGATGTCTGAAGACAGATCCTTTAGAGAGGAGCCTCTCATCCATGGCACTATGGACATTTGGGGCCATAGAGTTCCTTGTTGTTGAGGGAGGGGTGGTCCTGTGCATTGGACGATTCTTAGCAGCATCCCTGTGATCTACCTACTAGATGCCAGTAGCACCCACTTCCCTGTTGTAAGAACCCAGAGCATGTCCAGATGTTGATAAATGTTTCCTGAGTGACAAAAATGCAGTGAAAACACTGCTTTGGAACCAACCCATGAAATAGGGGCTGTGTTACCTTGACTTCTCTGGAAAATGCTGTTGCTCCTGGATCCTGATGCTGCCTAGAACCTGGACCCACTCTCCACATGTTCCCACCCATGGCTCTCAGTCCAGTAGCTGGTGTCTTGGGCCTGCACAGCTGCTCCCTGCCAGCAGCATGGGCAGAAAGATGAGATGCTCTCCTCAGTCTTCATGTTCCCCTCAGCCCTAGACTCTGTCGACCCATCCTCTCATCTACACTACTTGTTTTGGCTGAGAGGAGGATGCCACAGGAAGGCATTTGGATGTATCTGGAAAGCGGAGGGGAAGCAGGAGAGGAGGCTATGAGGTATTATTCAGAGGGTCTATGTCTTCTGCTCAACCCCCCCCTCAACCGATGGGACAGAGAACAGACCCTCAGCCTGTGATTTACACCCTGGGTCCAGCCCCCTTCTATATACTCACCTCTTCTACTTTCCCTGCCAACCCACACATGCTGTAGCCATAGCCATGCCCACTACTTCCCAAACACATCTATCTGACCTCTCTGCTTCTAGGCTTTCCTTAACATGCTGGCCTCTCCATCCTGCCACCGTCTTGAATAACATGGAATTCTGGGACTTCCACATTCTGACCTAATGAAGTCATCTGCATCCTTGTCTTAGGATCTGACAAATCAGGGGATGTCTCCGTTCTTGGGCAGACCTTTAATAATTTTCATCACAATGACTTGGAAACTTCAGGAGACCCAAAGACAAAGAGCAGTCAAAATGGTCGTATTTTTGCCGTTATCCTCCATTATCCACACTGCTTCCACACCTTTGCTTGAAGATGGGATTCATCAGTTGTCCGGATGGTTCTGAGCCCTGAGCTGTCTTGGAGATGGTGAGTGGCTGACAGGGAGAGGCTTGCTTCTGGCAGATGAGGCTTTCACCAGAAAGGGTGTGTTCTGACTCACATTTTCATTTTTCCAAAGGCTTAGTGGTTCTTCGGGGGATCACCAGTCATAACTTTTTCACCCCTCTAGAAATCCTGGGAGGTAAGTTTTTCTCTTCTCTATAGAGATGTAATAGACAAAACCAGTACATGAAAGGCTTTTAGCAGGCAGTTTGTAGACATGACATGCTTTTCTCCATTGGTGCAGTGGGGAAGGGGCACAAAGAGAGTGGGGGCACATTGGTAAAGAGCACAGACCACATCCCAGCCTCTTCACACCCTGGCTTCTGCTGATATGGGCAAACTGTTACATGGGGGACCAGACAGACGCCTTTCCCGCAGACCTTTTTGAAAGCTGGTATAGGCTTCCTGTGGTGTCTTGACCAGCCTGACTTGGCTCACTCCCACTTCTGAGTTTGTTACTGTTGTCACTTCTTCCCGAAATACCTGTTTGGACATTCCTGGCAAGTACAGTCTAGTCATCCTTTGAAGTCTGACACCAGCCCTCACCTCCACCCTGAAGCCTGCCTGATTACCCCAGTTCTTGGAGATCCTAGAGAATGCCAGCTCTCTGTGGTGCTTTTTAACCATCCTCATTTTCTTTTTCCTACTGGAATGGCACAGACATTTAAAGGTTTGAAAAAAAATACTCTCCCAAACTACGGCAGGTCTTTCCTGTTTCATAGCAAAGTGTATGATGAAGTCATGGCCTGGCCTTAGACCATGCATGTTAAGCTCTTCGAGGGCCAGGTCACGGTCTTCCTCATTCTTGAGTCCCCTCCCATGTCCCTCTATCAGACTTGAGCCTCCTGTGTGTATTGCACACAGGAGGTGCTCAATAAATGTTTGAATCAAATCAGACAGAACGAACCCTCCCAGTCAGCCAAGATTTCTCCCTTTAGCCCAGAGGTGCGCCAGCCTCCCGTAGATTTGTAGCGTTTGCTCTGCTGTGCCTTTTTCTCTGACCATCACGAGATGGAAGAGAAGGAGGTTAAGTGAGGACAAGCAGCTCTAAAGGCACCTTCTCCCACTGCTGACAGAGCCATCTGGAGCATGAATTTGGGGGAGTGCTTGGTTCTAACAGCCCTGCTCAGTCCCATGCAGCCGCCTCCACCCCGCCCCAATCAGGAGCCATAAGCTGTGACTTTTCTGTTAAACACAATTCCCTTTCTCAGCCTTTTTGGCATGTCTCTCCCTGATCGGCCCGTCAGCCTGTTTCAGTATTTCTATCCGTGACACCTTCATTGATTTTCCCTATTTTTCTGTCTGTAGCTTATTACAATCCCATCTTCTTGCACATAACGATGTGTAAACATGGGGAGCACTACCTCCCAAATTCCAGGTCATTTGAGTTTTGGAGTCTTTATACACTATGGCATTCTTGGCCTTTTCCTGTGGATGGAGATGATGAAAATCAATTTGTCTCTCATCACCACTTCCAAAATATCTCAGGCCATGCCAACAGAGGTATCCAGTGGCACATGAAAGCCCATGGAGAGATTACCTCTTCAGCTTCCCCAAGTGTTTATTGCCGAGCTATTGAAATGCCCCTTGCATATTCCTCGATCCGCCTCCCTGATGGAAACGAAAGGTCCTCTGAAGCGGACTTGACGCTTCAGAGTTTGTCCCTTGGTAGTCAGCTACTTCTGTACAGAATTCTGCGTTTTTCTTCCATGAACTCATGTAGCACTCACAGTGCCCTGGGGCTGGGCTGATGCCTTTACACCCATTTTATTGATGCTGAAACAGGATCAAGAAGTGAGTTTGTGCAGTTTTCTCAGTGA